AAGGTTTTGTATTTTTAGTAGAGATGGGCTTTCACCATGTTAGCCAGGATGGTCTCCATCTCCTGAAATTGTGATCCGCCTGCTTTGGCTTCCCAAAGTGCTGGGATTACAGGTGTGAGCCATTGCACCCAGTCTGAGTTTTTTTTTTTTTTTTTTAAATTCAAATCAGCACAACATTAGCTCATATAAGTTTTTCAAGTTTTAAAGTTATAACCAACCCGGTAAAGTCTGCAGAAATTTTTTTTTTTTTTTTGTAAATTTATAGTTCCACCGTGATTATTATGCTAATATTTTGGACATCAAAATAGAGCCATCAAAATATCTGCAAAAATTCTTCCAAGGGATTTCTACTTACAGAAGGATAGAATTAACCTTTTTTCCTTCCCATTTATCCCATTAACTGCAACCAAAAAATCCCAGACATTACATTTGAAAAATGTACAAGAAGACCTTGAAAAGTGGAAGGAAGAAGGAAGACTATACAAGAAGCTCGGGACCCAAGTAATGACATGGTGGTGAATTCCTGGATTTTTGTTTTGGCTCCATATATCCTAGATTTGGAGCTGAAAAGATCAGAAACCCAGAAATGACAATAGGTACATATATACACACACAGAGAGAAACAACATCTGACTCTTTCTAGCCAAAGGACAAGGAAAGGGCAACTTAATAAAATGGAAAAATTGGAGGCAATTAACACTTTCATCCACCCATACCTAAGAGAAAAAAGTATGGCCTTATCCCTACTTAGGCCATCAATGCCCTAATGAATAATCTACATTTCTACCTTCACCAGGCTCTGACAAGGTCTCCTCACTTCCACCAGGGTAGTGTCAAAGAAGATCACATAGAAGCCAGGACATTCATCCCTGCCAGGCAGCAACCAGGCCACCCTCTACCCTTTGTAACATCAGTGGAGATAACATAGGAATCCTGAACTTCTACCCCTACCATCCCTACATGTTGGGATGGTGTCAAACTAGGCTTAGAGGAGAGTGAGGACTTTCACCACCATCCAGCAATAATGACACCAATACTCAACCCCCCTCCCGCCACCACCAGGGTGTCAGTGGTAGATGAGTTGTTTATAGTTACAAGGCATTCCTATTCTTCCTAGCCAGGGAGGTATCAATGGAAGTCTAGTGGAAGCTGGAAGTCCTGTCCATGCCAGTAGTAATAAAGAACGCTTGCCCACTAATATATCAGCAGAGGACAGGTAAAGAAACATGAGCTTCTACCTCCAACTGCCATTAATTCTACTTCCGCTTCCCCTACTGGAGCAATGCTGGAGAAACCCAGCTAAAACTGAAGGTTTAAACAAGATCCAGAATCTCATAATATCATACCCAAAATGACTAGGTTTCAACTGCAAACTACTTATTACACAAACAATCAGGGAGATTTTAATGAAATGAAAAAAAAAAAAACAACATTTGGTGCTAATACCAAGGTAAGCAAATGAACCCCCAGCAATTGCCAGAGGCAATTAAATAACATTTGACTTCAGTTTCATTTAATTCAAGGTTAAGAGGGGGACCTTGTCATAGCCTGGTGAAGGTAAAAATGTAGATTACTCATTAGGGCATTGATGGCCTAGGTGGGGATAAGACCAACTTTTTTCTCTTATGTATGGGTGGATGAAAGTGTTAATTGCCTCAAATTTTTCTATCTTCTTAAGTTGCTTTGGCCAGAGAGAGTCATATGTTGTTTCTCTGTGTGTGTGTGATTGTGCACTTATACCTGATAAATAAAACTATAAAACTTTTGGGAAAATAACATAGAAGATAAACTTTGGAGTCTATACTAGGCAAAGAAATCCTAAACTAATAGCTTGGCCCATAAAGGGCAAAACTGATAAATGGGATTTTATCAAAATTTAAATATTTTGTTCTGTAAAGGATTAAGAGGATGAGAGCACAAGCTATAGACTGAGAGAAAATATTTGCAAACTAGTTATTTTATAATGATTAATATACAGAAAATATTAAAAAAATCTCAAAATGCAGCTGTAAAAAATCCCCCAAAAATCCAGTTAGAAAATGGGCAACATACATGGACAGATCTTTTGGTTAAAAGGATACACAGATGGCAAATAAGTGCACGAAATGATGCCAAACATCATTAGTTATTATAAATGTGAAATATCACAATACATATTTTATATGTGTACTACACAGCAATCATATGAATGTCCTTAGTTGATTTTAAAGAATACCATTCAGTTTATAGCCCTGTCACTTAAGTGGCCATGTTTTCTACAGAATTCTCTTATAACCCACAATCTAATGCCACTTGACTAAGTCAGGAATGGCACTAGACAAAAAGTCAAGTAAATCTTAATTAAGTTATAATCTAGGATCTTAGCGATCAGGTGAATTAAGCCAAGCATATTCTCTCTTTTGAAAATTTAAATACACACACACACACACACACACACACACACACACAAACACACAAAGAATAGGCTGTGTGCTTGTTATTAAATTACATTGTCTCAGTTCAGGTCCATCCCCCTCTTGCTCTGATATGCTGGGGCTGTGTCTGTGTGAAGCATATATTTTTCTTTGCCACCTGGTTCCCTGTTTGCCAATACAGGGAGACAGAGGGAAACTAGAAGCTTGAAAGTGAAGAAGAAAGTGATTCCTGTTTTTGACAATGTCACCCTGTTGGTTCCACTAGCCATTAAGCAGCAGTTGGTTCTATTTTATACATTTTTCTACAATTCCAGAAAAAACCTGATTGTACTCTTTTCTAGTGGTACAACTGGTACCCCTTCCTCAGTGATGTGATTCCAGTCCTGCCTGTGGATTCCTTTATAGTTCTTCAGGCTGTAACACCGGCTGAGTAAGATTCCCTACAAAATTCTGTATCCCAGCTCCATGGGTTCCCCAATTTAAGATTCTGGGGTACAGCCCCAGATGGCAGCCTGTCCTTAAAGGCAAAACTTTTAGCTCTGTGGAGTCCTTGCTGAGCTTTTAAAGGTTCTCCATTTTTTCAAGGAACACTCTCACCCATCACTCCTGTATTCCAGTTCTTCAAAGCCCCTCCTCCATTATTCTAAATTCTAATAATCTCTGACTCTTACTTTTGTCCCTGTATCTGGGATATCCACTCCCTGTAGTGACTACCTTTATGATTCCTCAGTGTTTTTTTTTTTTTTTTTTTTTTTTTTATTTGCCAGTAACTGGCTAACCATCCTTTGATAACTCTGCCCATTAAAATACATGGTGTGGTTTCTGTTTCCTGAATGTAGCCTGATTTACACAGGTAATTAGTAGCAGGAGTTGAAGCTGTTAATGGGAAAGCAGCTGCAGAGGCCATGATTGGCTATGTGCAAGGCAAAATTTTAAGAGGAACCAATATTAAAAGGCTAAGATAAACAATCAGAAGCAAAAAAGAACAGAAATGAATAGCCATTCAGGGAGAAGTAGAGTTTCAAAAAGTTTAAAGTCTCTGTTGCTCATAAGAATGACACAGCATATAAGAAGCTTCTAGAACTGCCTTTCTATCATATTCTTAATTTCTTAATTTGGTTTCAGTTCCAGCCCACACGTTGCCAGAAAAATTCCCTTTTTACATAGGTCACCTAAATGAGTCTTTTTTTCACAATAAACAAAAGAGCCTAATGAAATGAGTCTTTTTTCACAATAAACAAAAGAGCCTTCCTTGTGTATAAATAGAAAGACTAAGTTTGAAGGCAAGGAAAAAAAAACAATTACATATGTTTAAAAAACAAGATTCATGTCTTCTCTCTCTTTTGGTTGATATTTCTCTTGAGTGACTGGTACCTTATCTTTACCTTACCATTGCTTCATCATCTTTACAGAGCACTTCACACTTGTAAATGCCTTCATATCTAGGTTCTTATGTGACTCTCCAAATAAAGTGATATCCCTGAAGATAGATTAACATATCTTCTATTCAGCTTAATCTACATAATGTGATGGAGTTGATGAAAGAAAGGTTTGTCTTCTGGGAGAATCATGAGTTATGAATGTAGGACAGATAGCTGTTATAAATGCAACTGAGAGAGAGCTAAATATTAACAGGAAAATGCATGAGCAATACCTTTTACCTTCATTTCCGGTCTACTTATAACACATCTACTTATGCCTTAAGACACCGCAAATAATTCAAGTAGTTGCCAGTTAAAAGGGAAAGTACAGACTTCTTCCCTACCCTGAATGGTGCTTAACTTAACTAAAATTTGATCTTTTTTTCACCTTAACACAGTGAAACCCCACAGATGAATGAAGAGATTGTTTCAATTGTGCAGAGCTACGTAGCTCCTATTTCTAGGTGTGAGTCTCCTTGACTCTTGATGGTATAACAATTATTAACTACAGAGGATGCTACAACCCAATCCTCCAGCTTACAAACTGCCACTTGTTCTAAATTACTTAGACTTTCATTCTTCCCCACTGGTTCCTTCAGACAAGTGGAAGTTAGCCAATAGCCCAACAGAAAATATTTTCCTGCTGTCACCACATCAAGCTTTCCAATTTCTTCAGGTTTTCAGAGACAATCGAAAGCCAGCAACCATTCCCAAACACTTTGTTCCATATGAATAAATGAACCACTGCCCCAGTTTCAAAAATAGGAGCTGGGGCTTCACCATTTGTCCACCTGTTTTATTCTGAATACCAAGTAGGCCAATCTGCCACTCTTTTAACTCCTGTGGTAGTGCTCAGAAACATCTGTTTGGAAACAGTTTGACTCCTGCCCTTCTGCATAAATCACTACTGGTAAAAGTTTTATGAGGTGGGAACTTTTTCCCCCTGCTTTCTCTTTTTATACCTGAATGAAGCCCAAATGAACAAGATGAAGTGGCTAGACATTTAGCCATATGCTGGTATCCACATGTGTACATTCGGGAGGGAAGAGAAGTTGTCAGCTGTACCAAAGGAGAATTAGAATTATCTGAAATGTTATTAACAACCCCATAGACAATGAATTTTTGAAGGATTCTCATCGGGTAAATGATGTCTCTTACTTACCTGTAGCAAATTGTTCATGGACTGGTTTCCCTGTTTGCAAAATTTGAATCCACTTAATTTATGGTGATTCCAAAGTAGTTTCAGGATGTTTCCATATCATTAATCCACATAAGTTATCCTTGCTTTTTCAGTAACTCCTACATAAAATAGAATAAAAGGACATAATTAGTATTATTTAATGCTCAATAAATGCTGGTAGATTTTAACACCTATAGCTCACACTGAAAAAAAAAAAAGAAAAAAGAAAAAAACATATTGACTGTTTTTATTTTTTATATGATAGAAAATAATGGGAAAACATATTTTCTCTTTGAAAAACTATGCCAATTTTAGAGTATTTTGGAAATATAATTACACCAAGTAGTAGATGTCCAGGTGATTGGTAAAGGCTAAATAAAAGTTTATTGATTAGAGACTCAATATAATAGCTTTGATTAAAATTTGCTTGTTCCTGCATGCCCTAAGAAGGTGGAAAGGAATTTAACATCTGAGAAGTTACCATAGATCTGTGCTATGTGAGTTACTTTTACACGTATTATTTTATTCAACTGGCAATGTTTCTAAGAACTTACTATCCATACTGTCTGACAGATTTTTTTTAGCCTAATTTTTCAAGTTATAAAGCAAAGACTTAAAAATAGGGGATGTTAGATGATAAGTCCACTTAAACTGAATACACTATCCACTTGTTTTAGTCAGATGGTGGAGAAGACCATTGATCATTGCTTTGTTTTGTTTAAATAATTAATATCAAAATATTTTTTTGTGTGTTGAATCTGACCTAAGACAAATGAAAGGAGTTATTTTGACACTAGTCTAATTAAGAATTCCAAAGAAACATAGATAATGAATTTCCTGTCACAATGTATCATATTATGATGAAACACCTTAAGCACTATTAAATAAAATTTGGAGAAGGTCGTGCTTTGGACTGAACTCCTGCGATAGGCCCCAGTAGACCAAACCAAAATGGAGCCACTCACATTAAGTGCCATGCAATTGAAGTAATACTTTAAAAAACAGGAAAATATCCAAACAGTCCATTTTTTTCCCCAAAATAACTAGAGATTCACATAAACCATTTGAAAAAGGGCCAGTCATCCCAACCCAGCATGATAAGGAAGTCTTTTCTACCTTAATTTCCCTAACAAGAAAAGTGACCTGACATTAACCAATCTGTGTTTATGTATATGCTGTTTCCTTGTTTCTGCTCCAGCTACCTTTGAAAAACTGACTGTTCTGCTGTATCTAATGAAGTGCATTCCTATTTTTATAGATAAGATGCTGCCCAATACATGAATCATTAATAAAAGTCGATTTGATTGTCAAACCCAATTTGTTGAAATTTTGTTATTTGACATCACATAATTTTCCCCCATTACATTTGTTTTTGCCTGAAATTGCATGTCTATTTAGGATTTACAGTACTTTTTAAACTAAATTTAACAAAAATAACTTCCTGTGCATCTAAATGATATTGCTTATTTCATGTAACATTCTTTTATATTAACGAGTTTTTATTAAGAGACTGTCAGTCATAGTAGTTCTCTTTGACAAGACCGTAAGAATCATTATGACATGAAAAACCACCCATTAGTGCCCTCTTATTTCCAAAAATAGCCAGCCACAGAAAACCCTCTGCCCCTCACATTAAACTTCTCTCATTTGAAACATCCCCAAACTGCTCAAGTTCCCCCTTGTAGCCAACCAATACTTGTAAAATGTACCATTTAGAAAATCTCTCTAGTTTCCATAATCCCATCTTAATAGAACATTTGCCAGTCAGGTAAGTCTGACTATTCTTTTATTTGACATCCTAAAATTTACTCTCCTTCCAACTCTTTGGAAACTTGGCTTAAATGAAAGATATAGCAGAGGTATCCCCTTGCCATAAACTTAGGAATAAACAGTCTTTGTAAATTTTTTCTCAGATTTAGTTTTGATGAGTGTCATTCTGTTTTATTAGGGGAATATTTAGGACAATGTGTAAGTCTGGAGAGAAGTGTCTTAACATGTTCTGCAATTTGAAGATCCTTCCTGGTACATGGTAAGAAAACATAGTACAGCTAATTTAAAATAGATGGGGGAAAAGGGAGAAAGGAGAAAGAGAGAGAGAGAAAGAAAAAGAAAGAAAAAAGTCCTGAATTACATGGGAGAATGAATACTAAAGCTGGAAAGTAGAATAAATGATTGCCCAATTCTCATTCAATTTATGAAATATCTAGAAGACACTTAATATACCAATGTCATATGCCACTGTTAAAATTTAATAAAATATCCAACTATTGGAGATCCGCTATAAGCTAGACACCAATCAAGCAATTTCCATGCATTATCTAATTTATTCACTAGGGAAAATTGGGGCATCAATAGAAAACTATATATTTAGCACACCCTTCTGCTTATCAGAAGGTGATTCTATGGAAGAAGTCTACGGAATTTACAACTCAGTCAATTGTAAATAACTGCTAGCAATGCAAAATAATTTTTCTCTGTAAAAACAGTTTTATTTTTCTGTTCAGTAATGTGGTTCACTTGACTTCCTTCTCCGTGAAATAAGCTAGTTTTGCTTGCATTTACAAATCCATTTCAATATTTCTTATTTATATGTGTCTTTATTTTGGATTTTCCTTTGAACTGGTTAGAATACTCTGGTTCTCTCACTGATAAATGAGTGATGAAAAAATTTAAACATCTGTTCATTTTATATTTGTATGAGAGTTGTGATTTTAACTTTTTTGAAAATGATCTTTTGATCATTCTTTACAAAAACTCAATTGGGATTATATATTATTGAATATATTTTACAGACAAGGCTTAGCAGGGTCTCATGACTTGCCTAAAGGCCACAAACATCCACTGTGCACCTCCTGTCTGTTAGGTAATATGCTAGATGCCAGGGCTGCAAAACTAAACGAGGTTGTGTTTAGCCTCAGGGTCAAGAAAACAGGAGCAAATCTTTAGTGAGGATTGCCTCCTATGTAAGGTGCTTTCATAGACATCCAGGAACTAAACACATTTGATGAATACATACTACTTGAAATTCACTTGCTATATAAAATATTGAACTCAAATAGATTCAAACAGTGTTATACTCATTATCTCAACTTGCTCTACAAACTATTGGTAACTAAATTCAGGAATGAAATAGACTTGTATAGGAAGAGATACTTAATTACTATCTTCTAATCCTTCAAGTCACCATATGAGGTAGGCATTCTTCCCATTTTTAAAGATAAAAAAAGAGTCTCAGAGAAAATAGTGTTTAAAAAAAAAGTCACAGCACTAAAGAATACGAAGAGATAGCAGGATCACACAACCCAATGTCCTCATTCAAAAGATGAACAACTAGAGCTCATGGGAGACACAGTAGCTCCCTAAAATCTCATGTCCACCTAGAAGCAAATGCAGGTGCTTCATCCATTGATCATACTGCATCTTTCTACTTATCTGAGACAGTGAGGAAGGAGAATGGAACCACATATTAGAATCAGTGAGAAAGGAGAGGGAAAATTATTAAACTTCTCTTAAGGTTTTCAGGAGGCCACGAGGGGTCTAATATAGTTTGGCTCTGTGTCCCTACCCAAATCACCTTGTTTATAATCACCATAATCCCCACATCTCAAGGGCAGGACCAGGTAGAGGCAACTGAATCATGGGGACAGTTTCCCCATGCTGTTTTCATGATAGTGAGTGAATTATCATGAAATTTGATGGTTTTATAAGCATATGGCTTTTCCCCTGTTGAATTTCATTCTCTCTTCAGCCACCCTGTGTAGAGGTGCTTTGTGCCATGACTGTAAGTTTCATGAGGCTTTTTCATTTATGTGGAACTGTGAGTCAATTAAACCTCTTTTTAAAATAAATTACCCAGCTTCAGGCAGTTCTTTACAGCAGATTGAGAATGGACTAATATAATTAATTGGTACCAGGAGTTGGGTGCTGATAAAAAGATACCTGAAAATGTGGAAGTGACTTTGGAACTCGGTAACAGGCAGAGGTTGGAACAGTTTGGAGGGCTTAGAAGACAGAAAAATGTGGGAAAGTTTAGAACTTCCTAGAGACTTGAAGGGCTCAGAAGACAGGAAGATGTGGAAAAGTTTGGAACTTTCTAGACACTTGTTGAATAGCTTTGACTAAAATGCTAATAGTGATATGGACAATGAATTCCAGGTTGAGGTAGCCTCAGGTGGAGATGAGGAACTTCTTGGGAACTGTAGTAAAGGTCACTCTTGCCATGCTTTAGCAAAGGGACTGGTAGGATTTTGCCCCAGCCCTAGAGATCTGTGGAGCTTTGAACTTGAGAAAGATGATTTAGCATATCTGGTAGAAGAAATTTCCAAGCAACAGAGCATTCAAGAGGTGACTTGGGTTCTCTTAGAAGCTATTCAGTTTTATGGATTCACAAAGATATGCTTTGGAATTTAAACATGTCTAAAAGGAAAACAGAGCATAAAAGTTTGGAAAATTTGCAGCCTTATTATACAATAGAAAACCTAATTTCTGAGGAGAAATTCAAGCCCACGGTAGAAATTTGCATAAGCAATGAGGATCTAAATGTTAATCATCAAGAAAATGGGGAAAATATCTCCAGGCCATGTCAGAGGTCTTCATGTCAGCCCTGTCCGTCACAGGCCAAGAGGCCTAGAAGAAAAAACTGGTCTCATAAGCTGGGCCTAGGGCTTTGCTGCTTTGTGCAGTCTTAGGACTTGGTGTCCTGCATTCCTGCTAGACATTTTAAATGGGGCCAAGGTACAGCATGGGCCATTGCTTCAGAGGGTGCAGGTCCCAAGGCTTGGCAGCTTCTATGTGTTTATCCTGTGAGTGCACAAAGCTGAGGTTTGGGAACCTCTACAAGATTTCAGAGGATGTATGGAAACACCTGTACATTCAGGCAGAAGTTTGCTGAGGGGCAGAGCCCTCATGGATAACCTCTGCTAGGGAAGTGCAGAAGGAAAATGTGGGGTTGGAACACACACACAGAGCCCCCACTGGGGTACTGCCTAGTGAAGCTGTGAAAACAGGGCCACCACCCTCCAGACCCCAGAATTGCAGATCCATTGACAGTTTGCACTGTGTGCTGGGAAAAGCCACAGACACTCAGTTACAGCCCATGAAAGTAGAAAACAGGGCTGCT